GAACCTCAGTTTCCTCATCTAGGAAATGAGCCTAACAATATGACCTCACAGGTTGATGGTGAGAGAACATGAGAAAAGTGCCTGGCATGAGGTCCTGCTCCAGACATGGATGACTTCCACTTTATTAAGTGGAATAATCTTTTTTTTCCTTTGGTCAACAAACATGGCTGGCCAAAGTGAGTGACGCAATCTCACTGTCATATCCTCTCTTTGGTCACTGAGATCAACATGTAAATCCTAAAATTATACCAAGCACAGCCCCTAGAGTCACAGAGTTTTGACATCCCACCAACATTTCACTGGTTGCATGCGAACATTTGCAGTCTCCCAGTACTCTTGAGATTCACAGTCCAGATCAGATGAAATTCACTGGGTCATTAAAATGGGAAAGTAAGAAAAGTTTACCAATTTCTAGATTTAATTTTTTAATGATTCTTGATTTATTAGCCCCATATGTAAAATATACATAGGACACTAAAATCACACTGAAGAAAAAAATAGATAAATTGAACTACCTCAAAATTTAAAACTTCTGTGCATCAAAAGACGTAATCACATAAATGTGTATAAACACTATCTGTCAACTAAAAATAAAAAAAGGAAAAGAAAAAAGACGCAATCAACTGTGTGAAAAGGCAACCCACAGAATGGGAGAAAATATTTTCAAGTTATATATGTATCTGATAAGGAATTAACATCCAAACCATATAAAGAATTCCTACAGCTAAACAACAACAAAACTGCCACTTAAAAAAAAGTGGTAAATGACTCGAAAAGACATGTTCCTAGAGAAGATCTACAAATAAACATATAAAAAGATGCTCAACATCATTAATCATCAGAGAAATGCAAATCGGAACACGAAGAAATATCACTTCATACCCCTTAGGATGGTTATCAAAAAACAGAAAATAACAAGTGTTAGGATATGGAGGAGCTGCAACGCTTGTCCACTGTTGGTGGGCATGTAAAATGTGTAATGGCCATGGAAAACAGTATGATAGTTTCTCAAAAAATTAAAAATGGAATTACCAATAATTCCACTTCTGGGCATATATCAAAAATAATTAAAAGCAGGGTCTGGAAGCTATTTTTACAACCATGTTCATAACAGCATTATTCATGATAGCAAACAAGTATCCATGGACAGTTGAATGGATAAACGAAATATGGTATATGCAAAGAATGGAGTATTATCCAGCTTTGAAAAGGAAAGAAATTCCTACACATGCTACAACATGGATGAACTTCATTATGATAAATGCAATAAGCTAGTCACGAAAGGACAAATACTATATGATTCCACCAATATGAGGCATCTAGATTAATCAAATTCACAGAGACAGAAAGTAGAATGGTGGTTGCCAGGAACTGGGGGAAAAACTGGAATAGGAAGTCATTGTTTAATCGGTATACAGTTTTAGTTTTGCAAGATAAAACGGGTCCTGGAGATCAGTTGCACAATAATGTAAATGTATTTAACACTACTGAACTGTACACTGAAAAAGATTAAGATGGTAAATTTTATGTTATATGTATTTTATCCAATTTTTAAAAAATCTGTTTTTACAAAAGAGACTCTAGTGCCCTCCTGGAAATGCCTTTTCTAAAAAGCGATGAACCTCAAAAATATTAATATTCAACCTTAGGAAAAAGCATGGAAAGTAATGTTAAATTCCTGTTTTCAGTGTGTTTCCAACATGTTTATATGGCAAGAAGTAAATCCAGTTCAGAAATAAGGAATTAATAGCACATTAGTGAGAAAGGGAACCAGCGGTATACTTTACATTTGTTATCTTAAACCATCGAATTTCCATCACTAAGTATTACCTTCAGGCTATGGATATGACTCCGAAGCTTCTAGGAGGTATGGGCACTTGCTCAAAGTCATACAGGTGATAAGCTTTGGAAATAGAATTTGGACCCATTGCTAAAATGCATTGTTATTAAGGAGAGAAGTGGGCCTGGTTAGACCTCAGTACAGTCATGGATAACAAAGGCTGGCATTTATGAACAAATTGGGAATGTAAATGAAAGACAAGCCTCTGGGACTTTGTGACTTGATGTTAGGGAGACCAAATATATAAACTCTAGTGCTAGTTTATCAGGAGTCATCCATGAGATGCTGTGAGACATGGTCAGTGTGTACGGTAAGTCACCTGTTGCAAACATACTGCAAAACCAGGCCTGGAGCTCTGGTCTTCCAGCTGAGACTCTCAAGCTGGACCCACCAATTCTCCTGGGACTTGGTCAATTTGAATAACCAGGGATAATGGTCAAGATGTGGGCTGTGGAGCTAGATTGTCTGGATTCTGATTCTGTGTCTGACACTAACTGTATGATTCAGGGAAAGTTTCTTAACCTCCCTGTGTATACTTCTTCATCTATAAAGTGGTGACAATAAGAGCATCTTTCTCATAGATGATTTGAGGATTAAATAAATCATTGTATATAAAGTGCTAAAACAGCTTCTACCTAGCACATAACAAACCCTGGATGAGTGCAAAATATTATTTTATACCAATTGTTAGAGACACATCACAGGTCAGGCATGCCTCCTAGGAAATGCTTTGTCTTTGAGATTGCCAAAGAACAAATGCATGTATATCACCAGAACAAATACATTTAACATGTAAATTATGCAACTTGTAATGCATATAAAATTCTATATCTTAAGCAAATAAAACAAAGCCGAAACCATAGTATACAGACAATTTTTAAACATGCCTACACACAAAAGCATATACTTAAATTTTCGATGAAACTGCAATGTTCCATCAGTTTTCTTCGGCATTTCTGAATCTGTGCTTGACTTATAGATCAACTTCTCTCTCAAAAGCTAGAGCAGGCTGTGGATAACTCCGAAGGTTGTAGTTTGTTCCCAGTGTACCTTGGGAGTTAGCTCTAGTTTCTGTTCAGTCCAGGCCAGGTGATGTAGTACATCTTTTCCCAAGAGAAGCCATTACTGAGGATTTTCTTACACAGCAGCAATGCTCCTTCCCCTCCATCCTCACTTCCCACTCCAATTCCCCTAAGAAAAAAGGGCAATGAAATCACCCAAGTGAACTTTTGGTTCTACCAACCAACTAATCGAGCCCCTTTGGTGGTGGTGGTGATAAATGGTGTGTGTATAGTTGGGCTGTATTTACAGATAATTGTCCACCAAGAGAAGAAAAAGAATTCTGGGACTAGCGGGGTATTTAAGGTTTTTCAATGTTGCTCATTTTCACTCTCAGTTCTCTATTATCTATAAAAATAACCATTATTCATTGGACCCTTGCTATTTCCCAGATACTATGCTAGGGAATCTATAAATACTATATCATATACTATAATAACACTATAAGATAGACTTAATTACTTCCATTTGCAGTTCAGAACTGAAGCCTGAAGAGTTTAAATGACACAGCTTGTGAGTTCTGGAGTCATTGAGTCATGGGGCCAGTTATCTGATTCTGAAAATGAACTCCTAGCCTATATGCTCTACTCATTCCTAGAATATTCTACAGTCATTGACAGGATTTAAAATGAGTACAGAAAGTAGATCTCCAGAACAAAAAAATGTATCGAAATCTCCAAAATAAAACAAATTGATTATCCTAAGTAAAAAGTTTTCAAAGAAAGTAAAATGACATCTTATATAAGTTAGGGGAGAGGAACCACAGAATTAGAAGGAAACTTAGAGGTCATTGGATTTATGCTTCATCACAAGAAACTCGTATGAATGCTTGCCAAGCCTCTGCATGAATACCCTCAGCACTGGGGAACTCAGTAGCATGTGTAGAGCTGACTCTGTTACACAGCTAGGACTGCTGGAAAGCTCTTGTTCCTTTTCAACGTATATCTATTTTCCCAGGCGTCCTTCCACTTTTTCTGGCTCTTGTAGGGCCACAGAGAGTAATGTAATCTATCCTCCACAAGGCAATCTCGATTTATCATTTCCACTTTGGTCTTCTTACATGACTCAAACATGAATTACTCCTGGCATAATTGGAGTTGGTGTAGCATAGAGGAAAGCACTTGGGTTTTACAGTCAGGAAGTTTGTTCCAATTCTGGCTCAATCACTCATTATTTATGAAATCCTAGGGAAGTTACTTAACTTACTCAGGCTTTAGTTTCCACATCTTCATAAAGATTTTACAGGCTAATTCTGAAGGTTAGGATGTAATGATACGTTCCTAGCATGTAGTAGACCACTCAACAAATATTAGCTGTTATTATAAGTTAACATTTTCTCTGGTAAAGAAGTCATGCTTTTTACTGATGTAGGTTATTCTCAGACTATTGGTTAAAATAGAAGTTCTCTAAGTCAGAATACATGGGCAAGTGTCCTGTGGTATGTTTAAGTAATATAAATAAAGCAGGTTTTTCAGAAAGATGTTAGTATTATATTTGTTATTGTTGGTATCATGTGTGTGTGTTTGTGTGTGTCTGTGCATGTGTGTGTTTGAATTTCTTCAGATATATTTAACGAACTTATTATGGTTGGACAAGTGTCCAAACAAAATTGGGATCCTATGTGGAGTATTTCAGCTAAGGTCAAGGTCCTAAACTCCCTAATAATCTGAAATCTCTCCTTACAGAATTTCAGATAATGGTTGTCTTTTGTACGATTCTACCTAGGTTAGTGTTGGGATGGTAGTGGTGTCCCCAGACCAATTTTATAGAACAGAAGTTTCTTCAGTTAAATGTCTTTCCTTCCTTAGAGCTCTGTGCTTATTTCCCAGGCAACCTCACAGTAAAGCATGCCATTGGGATAGAAACAGGTCATTTTCCTTCTAAGATATGTTATCATCTTCTTCCATAGTAAAGGACCTACCAGGGACAGGTGACTCTCCAGTGACGACTACACTCACAGATCTTCTTGCAGCCATGAGTGGTCATGTGACTTGGCTCTTGCCAATGGAATTTGAGCAGAAGTGAAGTGTACCACTGGTGCCTCACTTGCTTCAGAGCAATTCCTTGGCCTTGAACTCCTACTCTTTCCCTCTTTCTCCAGGAACTGCGAAGACTAGAGTGACCCTGGATATCTCATCTGGAAGATGGTAGCACTGCCATCAGCCTGGGTTTCCAAATGACCTCATGGATCACAGCTACCATGGCCTGAAATGCTGACCTTGGAGTTGTTATAAGAGAAAAATAAACTTCTTTGTTCTTCGAGCCACATCATTATCAGGTCTCTTCTTAAAGCCACTTATCCACTTGTTCTATCTCATGCAGCTCTGAAATTCTGTTTTGTTTCTGGAGTCAAAACATTCATTTGTTTCTTCTTTATTCAACAGGAATCAATTACTGGGGGCTCATGCCAGTTGTCCTGGTGCTTGAGGAAGTGAGGCTATGCGTTCAAGGCCAACCTGGGCAACATAAGAACTTCTCATTCATTAAAAAAAAAAATCAATTATTTATTTTATTGAAGCCACTGTTCCAAAGAGAAGAATAGGAAAAAAAATTAGCGTTATGGATCTTTTGTCCTGGGAACAACACAGAGTGGAGACTATTGGAATTTTCAATAAAGTTCCTTTCCTGGGCAGTGCCAGCCCACTCCTAATTTCCAGACTTGGTTAAGATTAGACCAGGGTGCTGAAGAATCAAAACATCTAGATTTTTTTTGCCTCATTCTGCTGATAGCCCCACAGAAACTACCCCATAGAGTTTCTTGCTTGAGGTTTCAGACAATTCTAGTATGTTTTATCAGAATACACTCTGTATTTCATCCAACCATGTAGCCTTTGGCTCCTACCTCAAGCATTAAGAACGGACCATTTTGGTATGGAAAATTATCAGTTTTTGGGGAAAAGCCCCTATTTCTCTGATCTGTGCTCTGGATTTGGCAGCTTCATAGGCTTTCGTAAAGAGCCACAACTGTGAACCATGGTGTGCTGTCATTATCTCTTTGAAGCATGGTGTCTTGTCATTATCAATGCTCTGTGCATTGGAAATCCTGTGTGAGACTGGCAGGGGATAGACGGAATGAAGAAATCACATTCGCCAGAATGAGCTGCTCAATTTCCTTAAGTAAGGAGTGTGTCTAACATCCAGTGGTTTCCTTCGAGAGTGCGTGCTTTCTTAACATACGGACAAGATTAGTACATAGACAGAATCACTGTCTACAGATCCTAGGCTGCTTTTCAGAGGCAGCTTTAATCTTCCTAATTGAATTAGCTTTTCTAGACCTGCGCAAAATGTAAATCATGATGTAAAATAATAGGACAGCACATAATCTCATTGCAATATTTTGTAATCACAATTAAATGACTAAAATCTATTAAACTCAATCATTTTAAACTAAACTTCTAATCTTCCCCATTGCAGGTGATGGCAACTCCAACTTTACCATTGCTTAGGCCAAAAACTTGATGTCATCCTTGACTCTTCTTTCTCTTGCATCTCACAAGCAATTCATCAGAAAATCCTGTCAGCTCTGCTGCTTTCAAAATTTATTGAGAATATGATTCCTTTGCATCACCTCTACTGCTACCACTCTGGTGGAGCTGCCAACATCTCTCACATAGATTAAGTCACACACACACACACACACACACACCCCAGAGTGTATTCTCAATCAAATTGATCTTTTTAATAGGGAAGTAAGATCATTGAACTCCTCTGTCCAAAAACTTTCAAATGGCTCTTCGCTTTTCTCTGAATATAAGCCCAAGACCATACAAGGACCTGTAAAGCCCCCATTACCTTCTGACCTCATTGCCTCCTACTCTGCTCTCTTACTCAGATCCTGCCCCAGTGGCTTCCCTGTTGCTCCTGGGGCACATAAGTCATGGTCTTGTCATTTGCTTTAACTCTTTCTCAGTGTCCTTTCCTTGATGTCTGCTTGGATATCTCCCTCACCTTCTTTAAGACTCGGCTGACATATGCCGAGGAATGAAATTAGACCTTTACCTTTTACCATATACAAAAATTAACTTGAGATGAATTAAAAATTTAAATGTAAGACCTCAAATTCTAAAAATTATAGAAGAAAATGTAGGAAATACCCTTCTCAGTGTCAGTCTTGGAAAAGAATTGATGGGTAAGTCCTCAAAAGCAATTGCAGCAAAAAAATTGACAAGTGGGACCTAATTAAACAAGAGGCTTTGTGCAGCAAAAGAAACTAGCAACAGAATTGCCAACCTACAGAATGAGAGAAAATATTTGCTAACTATGCATCCGACAAATGTCTAATACCCAGAATCAATAAGGGAATTAAACAAATTAACAAGCAAAAAACAACCCCATTAAAAAGTGGACAAAGGACATGAATAGTCAGTTCTCAAAAGAAGACATACAAGCAGCCAACAAACATGAAAAAATGCTCACCATCACTAATAATCAGAGAAAAGCAATTAAAACCATAATGAGATATCATCTCACGCCAGTCAGAATGGCTATTATCAAAACGCCAGAAAATTAACAGGTGCTGCCAAGGCTGCAGAAAACAGGGGACACTTACATACTTTGAGTCGGAATATAATTTAGTTCAACCACTGTGGAAAGCAGTTCGGAAATTTCTCAAAGAGCTTAAAACGGAACTACCATTTGACCCAGCAATCTCATTACTAGGTGTATACCCAAAGGAAAATAAATCATTCTGCAAAAAAGGCTCATGCACTTGTATGTTTTTTTGGCAACACTATTCACAATAGCAAAGACATAGAATCAACCTAGATGTGTATCGGGGTGGACTAGATAAAGAAAATGTAGTGCATGTACACTGTGGAATTATGTAGGCATGAAAAAGTAAAGCCATGTCTTTTGCGGTGACATGGATGCAACTGGAGACCATTCTCCTAAGAAAATTAATGCAGGAATAGAAAACCAAATACCACATGCTCTCACTTATCAATGGGAACGAGTACATGTGGAGATAAAGATGGGAGCAATGGACACCAGGGACTGCTGAAGGGGGTTTTGCGGGGGGCAGGGGACTGAGGAGCTGCCTGTGGGTGCTGTGTTCACTGCCTGGGTGACCAGATCGATCATTCATACCTCACACCTCAGCATCACGCAGTGTTCCCATGTGACAGACCTGCACATGTATCCCCTGAATCTAAAATACAAGTTGAAATTACTTTTCAAAAAAGACTTGGCTGAAATATCTCCTCCTCAGTAAGGTCCACTCTTGACTACCCTATTCCTACTGTCCCTCGCTGTCCCACTCACCCTATTCAATTTTTAAATTCTTATTGCTTTCTAATTTATGACGTAATTTACTTAGTGTGTTTATTGTCCCTCCCACCTATTTGTACAATACAAACTTCACGAGGGCAGGGATCATTGAGCACTAGAACAATGTGTAGCAAGCACATAGTAGGCACCTTATTGAAATTTTCTGGAAGAATGAATAAATGAAAACTACACATTATGAGGCTGATTCTTTTATGAGTATGACATGAACTGGGACAATACACTCCTCCAGGTATTGAATCTGTGAAGTCACCTTCTTTCTTTGCAGAGGAAAACACTGAACCCTGAGGAGAGGCTGTTGCTGCAAATGGACCACAAATTATGCAAGGAGTCTCGGGACAAGATCCCTGGTAAACTTTTTCTGTGTTACATTTCAGGATGATTGACGTGGGTGTTGAGAACACTCTGTTTTTGGCGTTAGGACTTGTTCTTGTTTTCAATTGGAATCTGAGTGACTGAGAAAACCTGTGCAGATCAAGTTCCCTGCCTCCTGCACAAATATTTCCTGGTCTGGTTTCAGGTATCCCTTTCCTTAGGTGGGTTTGTCACTGAGGGATTAAAACGCCTTGTGATTCAGAGCCTGGGCTGTCACAGTGGTGCTGACGCACGTGCAGTATCTTGGATCTCTATTCAGTTCCTCATTCATGCTCACCTTCAGGCTGAAATGGGGAATTTGGGCTGTGAAATCAAATGCCTGAACCTGAGGAGCACCCGCTGTTTGCTGTCTGTCCACCTCTCTGATCTCAGGACTGCCCTGCCCCTGGTGGAATGAAAGTGAGGTGAGAAGGGCAGGCATCACAGATAAGAATAGAAGAGAACACTGCATACATCTGAGGAAAGTCTAAAGAAAGACAATGGATAGCAAGGGCTGGAAGAAGGTGAATAAATGGAAAGAAGAGATGGGTTGAAACAGAAAGGGGAGAAGACAGGCTGAGAGGTGGGGCTGAACCACAGCACTGTTTATTTGCTGTATGTGCCCTTACTCCCTGGCATTTCCAAGCATTATGTTCCCTGGTTACATGAGGAACATGCTGTTTATTTTTTTCTTCATAAAATATGGGAAAAGCTATTTCATCATTCAAACTTGGAATCATTGCCAATAGGAGAAGAAAATACTTTTCCAAAATCTGCAAGCATGAGTTGCTTTAAAAATGTAGCTACTAAGAGGCTCTCAAATGACCCTCAGACCACTAACTCACTTTCCAAGATATTCCACATTGGACTTCTAGCCAAAACGAGATATATTCTTTTATATATCCAAATTGAAGCTTTCCATACCACCTTTTGCAAGCTGGTTTCAGTCACTGGGAAATTTATGAACAGCAAATTACCTTTGTTCAATCGCTTCATGAATATAGGCACTGGAAGAGCAGTAGTGATTGTGAAACAGCAATGTATTGACAGAAGTAAAAAAAAAAAAAACTTTAAAAAAAAGGAAATTATATGAAAGAGACTTTTCAAATATCGAGAGTGTCCAGTATAGGCCTTAGCAGCCTATGGAAAGGTCCTGTGTTGTCCAAACAGCCTCCTGTAGGGTAATGGCCGCAGCAGCACATATAAAAGGAATAGTGGAAAGGTGCAAAAGTCATTAACACAGGAGAAATAGGAAGCAATCAGCAACACTTTTAAGCAAATTATTACCGTGAAATTACACTCCCAGCTTGAGATAAGTGTCCTGGATCTGTTAAAGCTATATACACCTCACTGGCTTAAATGCAACTGAAGAAAGTTTTTCTCTTTGGGTTATTTATGAAGTGTTAGGTCATGATTGACGGTGGTGCTTGACGAGCGGGGGGAGCTGCCCACTTCTTCCCAGACTTTTTGTAATGGCTTATTCCCTGTACTGAAGATTTGAGGAGAGAGGCTTTGCAAATACTCGCTTGGACAAGAGGCTACCTTTCTGGAGGAAACTTACTGGACTGACTGCATTTTATTAGGAGTCATTTTGAGTAGAAAAGTCTAGGGCTCCTTCCTGTATTACCACGGGAGTACGAATGCGGGTGTTTGCTG